GAGAGAGAGAGAGGGGGAGAGATTTGAAATCCAGTTCATTACCAAATATGTTGTTGTTGAAATTTGATTGATTGATAACCCACTTTCTAGGTCAAAGCTTCACCGTCTCAACTGGTCTGAGGAGCATCTGCTGGAGTGTTCCCGAAGCGAGGAGACACTGTTGGACAAACTGCCATGTTTGTATCACCGCGTGGCTCCTGACTCGTGGTGTGATCAAACCTCATTACTGACCAGGTTGCGCACCGTCATCTGGGAGGAGCAGAGGAAGATTGTGTGGGTTGAGCCTGACCTGTGGTGAAAAGAAGAAAAAAAAACAAGTGACAGTAAAAGGATGGTACATTTTTATTGAATTCATTGACATTTAAATCTGTACTTGATTTGTATTTGACATGAGTATGTACGTGTATCTATGATCACACAACAATTTTGGTGTGGTTTTCAAATGAACACCAGAGGTTGTTTGGTTCCCATTTTATTTCCCGACCGACCAACTTAATGATTTACAGCTCATCTGGGCAAAGTCGGGCTCGACAACAGGCCGCATCCAGCCCATACGCAGTCTCTGCCGCCTTTGAAGTCAAACACCTTTGAAGCAGTGCAACACACAAAAGCAGCATATTCAGTGTTCGATCATGGCACGGCATTCAGTGACTTTTCCAACCATTCTAATACAAAAAAAAAAAAAGAATAAAGTCCACACCAACCATGGAGCTCATACTAGCAACTATCTTACTTCCTGCAAAATGGAGGGAAGAAAGGAATTTGCTTGTAATATTTTAATGTTTACTTGTCATGATTTGTGCATCCTACAAAACACTTATTTGTGGTTTGCACTCATAATGTCAGCACACATATTCATATACAAAAATATGAGGACTTTTTTTTTGTGAATGTTGATTAAATAACAATTTAATCTTAGGTGTTTTGGTATCCCATTTTAATGTGACTGATACTTTTTTTCACCAGTTTTTAATTTTTATTTGCCACCGAGAACAACATATACAAAGGCTATGCAAATGTTTCATAAAAAGACATTAAAGTCATCATTAACACAATTGAGTTTGCATGTTGGTGTGTCCCTCGACAACCGTTTGTTTCTCGCATGGCCAGAATTCAGTGCTTGTGTCGTCAAGAACAGTTTTCACAGAAGTCTGCCTCTAAACGCCTTAAAGCGAAGACTATACAACTTTGAACAGTAAAATAGCAGCCAAGTTAATAAGCGTCTTGTTCACTACGCTCCACATCTAACTGGGCTAAGGCCGAATCTCTACTTTTTGAGACCACTGATCCCGGACGAGGATGGACCCGAATCTTTTAAAGTTTTATTTTGTTTTGTTCATTAGATTTTGTTTGTTGGCACTTGTAATTCTTACACATTTTTTTCAAAATCACATTTTAAAGTTCATTGAATGTGCACGTCAGTCGACCCAACAGCATGCAGCGACAAATCACCCATCTCAGGCGTAGAGATGCAACTGCTGTTGGTGAAAACTACGTTGGACTGTCGGTGTTCACTTCACACGACAAGACAGGAGATATCATGAACAAAAGGAGCAGCTTCCACTTTTGCAGACACAGATAAGTATAAATGTTGTTTGAAACTGCTATGTTATAGATTTGCTGCGTAAATTTTGCCGATGTTATTTACGAGTTAAGCTACCTTCAACTGTTAACCTGTTGTTGGGCGGCCAGCTTCAGTCATGAAGAGCTAAGCCTCTCTTTGACTGACTTAAATTGAAATTCTGGGTTAGTTTATTTCATGTTTTTTATTGGTGTTACGGTAATGTAAATACCCATCGAGAGTGATATAGCATGAAGCAAATTTCAAAAAGTGAAGAAAAATACCGTAGAATTTTGTTCAACATAAGATTGTATTTTTTGCATTTGCTAATTTTATGACACGATTTACAGCAGGGGTCTCAAACTCTGGTCCTGGAGGGCCGCTCTCCTGCATGTTTTCCAAGTCTCCCTGTTGCAACACACCTGGTTCAAATGATCAGATCATCAGCAAGCTCTGCGGAAGCCTGACATTGAACCTGTTCATTTGAATCAGGTGTGTTGCAACAGGGAGACTTGGAAAACATGCAGGACAGCGGCCCTCCAGGACCGGAGTTTGAGACCCCTGATTTACAGTATAAATTGTATTTTCACCAACTTGTGACATTTTAATTTGTTAAGGACTAACTTACTAACAATATTGCCACGAGGTAATATTCCTCTGCCGTGATTGTCAGAAATGGTGCTTAAACCACACGCTACAGGTAAGTTATTATTCTCATACATTTCCAGTTCAGGCGGCCGGTCTATGTGTGCCCTGCGATTGGCTGGCAACCGGTTCAGGGTGTACCTCGCCTACTGCCCGTAGACAGCTGGGATATTCTCCAGCACCCCCCCCGCACCCCTTGTGAGGATAAGGCGGATCGGATGGATGGATGGATTTCCAGTTAATTGTAACAATTCAAGAAAGGTATGCCATGGTTGTGTGAAACTCTTCCATCCTTATGACAAGACTGTCCATGTCAGAGCTGCTCTGCCAGCAGATCTCTTGGACTTTGGCATAAATGACTTGATGCGGGACTATGACCACATTTTACCCTAGGCCAGTGGCTCTTAACGTGGGTTTGATCGAACCTCAGGGGTTTGGTGAATTGGTCTCAGGATTTCGACGGAGCCTCTGCCATGGACGTAAAGATACACCCGACTCAAGATGCCAGTTATGACAGGGCCGCTTGGCCATCGCTGGCGCCGGACTTGTGTGTGGGCAGCGTGGGATCGGTTGCCACTCAGTGACTGTGAGATTGTGGGTATAGTTGTTTGACTGTCTCTGTATGTGCCCTGCAACTGACTGGCGACCAGTTCAGGGGTTAGTCTGCCCTCTGCTTGAAGTAAGCTGGGATAGAATCCAGCAAACTCCCGCGACCTGGTCAGGATAAGCGGTGTTGAAGATGGATGGATGGAAGTTCTGAGTGTATGAGTAGTCAAGTGCCACTACTGCAGTAGATGAAATCAACTCCTTAGGTGAACAAAAGAACCATGATCACCTCAGAACAGATTAGTTGTCCGTAGTCGACAAGGTACAGTAAATCATTTCACAAACAAATGCAGCATTTAACTTTGGTGTATATGGTCTAATGGACATGACCACATTACTGATAATGGAAAGGACACAACAATGACGATACAAGGACGTTCATTTGTGTGAAAGTGTTGCCTCCATCAGTCAAGTTTGATTTCTTCTTACAAGCAGGGAGGAAATATGATTCTAAACCAAATTGTCTCGTAAAGGCGCATAGAATAGATGCCACAATTGTGGCTGTGGTTGTCCCTCTAACCAGTCATCTTCAGCCATTACATATGTGGTGGTTTCAATTTCAAATACAGCAATCAGGGTTGAATGCAGGTTTAACACCGTATCATTGTTCCAGCCTTGACTTTTATTACTGGGTGGAGTTAATGCAGCACCAGCATTCTGTTTTTTACACTGTTCCCTAACTTTTAACAGTGGCCAATTTGCAGTGCAGACACAGCGTGCTCATAAACAGATATCCAAATACAACTGAAGAACTGGCACTTTGCTAGTCTGTTAAGTATCCAGTTTCTCTCAGCCATTCATGTCTAAACCACAGGCATCAAAAGTAAGTGTAAAAAAAGTTTAAAAGTTTGTGACAATTTGTGTTGATCTTGTCTTTTTACGCAATGACATCTGAATATGTTTATACCGCCATTACGTATATCCATATTGGGCCATGGAAGCAAAGTATTTTAACTGGGTCGCTCAAACCTTGCAGTCTAAGTGCAACCTGACAAGCAGTGGTTCTTCAAAGTCTTAAGACGAGTGGAAACTTGTGGCTGCTAAAACCTTACCACAAACCACAGAAAGTGTACAAATCATGTCTTTACTGTATTTACAATACGGTTGGAGGCATTTCCTATTACTCTTGTTTATTTTATCCCACTGTGTTGACGCTTCCATCTTCAGATTCTGTGTATTCTGTCAGTGACCGCAAGACCTTCCAGAGTGAGCCCTGGTACTTGGGCATCTCCACCCACACACGCTGAATGATGCTGCTGACGGTGTGCACTCGCTCCGTCTCGCCCTGCAGAGCGGCTTCAAGTGAAGCAGTGGTGGATGGAGTGCCATCAATCATCTCCTCAATCTTCTTGGCCTTGTTCTGAAATTCTTCCTGGGGGGGGGATGTGCACAATCAGCGGAAGGCTGACAGGATCAGAAAGGAAGTTTGACTTCCAGCTTATAATGTAGAAAATCGATCCAACGTTATTGACTACCCAGCCTTTACAAACAGTGAAAACAAGACATCAAACATCAGCTATGTTTTAAGGTTATTATTCAGTCGAGAGAAATAAGGGATTCTCCGGCTTACCTGACCCTCTTGCAGCTCTCTGATCTCCTGGTCATACTCTTTCACTAACTGGAATATACATACAAGATACATTAGGTAGTTGAACAATTTGTCCTCAGTGCATATAACGTGCGCCCAGATTGACCCACTTTGTGTATTTCTGTGATTTTTCGCCGCAAGCCATCATTCATCAGATGCAGCTCACCCTTGGTGGTGGCTTTTTTAGTACTACGAGCCATGACCTCATTGCGCTCAATGATGTTTCCTCTCCTTTCCACAACTGAAATGCTGTCCCGCAGGAGCTGCTCACGCTGCCTCATCAGCAGACTGAGCCAACGCTGAAATGATCAACACAAATCCAGTCAACACTCCACACACACTCTCAAGTGTCTCAGCATTTGCAATCCACTTTCGCAGCTCCTAGAAAGTTTTTGCACGCTGTGGACAAAAGAAACAAGAAATTAACCTCGGAATATTAAACTTGCATCGTAGTAAGACCTTTCCAGGCAAATAGTTGACACTTTTGCCAATACAACAATTTCCTTGTTCAAGAACACCTGTGCAAATACAGTACTTTTTATTTTATATCTATCTATACCACAGGTGCCATACTCAAGGCCCTGGGGCCACATCTGGCACGCCACATCATTTTATGTGGTCCGCAAAAGAAAGTTATGCGCATTGACTTCATGTTTCTTGCTAAAATATCTGCACCCAAATTGCAAATTGCCTTCGCTTTTAAAAACGTTGAGACGTTGCAAGCATCTTTTGTTACTAATTTCCCTTTTGAAATGAATGTCATAATATTTAAACAGTTTTAGTGGCCTCTGATTGCAAAACTAGTGACTCATCAGTTTGTTGTTTATGAAATATTAGGCGATCGTACATTTTGGGGGGGGGG